GGCAAGCTGCACAGTTGGCCCAGGGTGCCCCTAGTGGAAGGGGAGGGAAGCACACTTCAGAGAACTCTCTACCTGGCAAGCGCTGAAAATGATTGCCATTAGCCAGAATTGAGCAAGACGGCACATGATTATTATTAATAGCATCAAGAAGGACACTGTTCTCCAGGAGCTGAACCGAGCAAGCTAAACAACCCACCCTTCCCACCGTGCAGCCTTCTGACTTTACTTAATGACTCGTCCCGATTGACCGGCTGCTGCTGGCTGAAGGGAATCGGTAAGTTTGGAGCATGGCCATGCAGGTCAGAATCCAGAAACCATGAGCTCGGTGGGAATAAAACGCCAAAGGAGACCCACCCACCAGAAAGGTGTATTATTATTATTATTATTATTATTATTATTATTATTATTATTATTATTATTATTATTATTATTATTATTATTATTATTATTATTATTATTATTATTATTAATATTAATATTAATATTAATATTAATTAATTAATTAATTAATTAATTAATTAATTTGTTGTTGTTGTTATTATTATTGTTATTATTGTTATTATTGTTATTATTGTTATTATGATTGTTATTGTTATTGTTTTTGTTGTTTTGTTGTTGTTGTTAATAATAATAATAATAATAAATGATGATGATCATGATAATAATAATAATAAATGATGATGATGATGATGATGTGCTGTCGAGTTAGTTTTGACTTATGGTGGCCCTTTCCAAGGTTTTCTAGATAGAGAGACTACTCAGAAGTGCTTTACCCTTCCTTTCCTCTAGGGGCGCTGTGGGGCAGTGCAGCTTGCCCAAGGCCTCCCAGGCTGGCTCTTCGCTCAAGAGGCCCAGTGGGAGGAATCGAACTCCCAACCTCTGGCTGCAGTCAGAGACCGACCGATCCACCCACCCACATCATTATTATTAAAGGTGGAGAAGTTTTTTTTCCTCCCATCGTTCTCTTCCAATTATGAAAAGGAGAGGAAAAGCTACTCTCAAGGAGTTGTGCCAGTGGTGTTGCACTGGATGGGTTTAAGTGGCTGGGAAGCAGACGTTTTATATAATCTCTCTCTTTTTAAAAAAGAGAGAGAATGCTCTTTTGCTTTTCCTAGGGACGTTTGCAGAAGGACAGTAAGATTCGGGGCTCACCTTACAGATCCAGAAACATACAGGGAGTGGAGCAGAGACCGAGCTGGGTGGGAGGCAGAAAGTGCGGTCCCTGGTTTCAATACAGAACAGTTGCAGAACCGACAAGCGTCTGTCGCACACACACACACACACACACACACACACACACCCCGAAGCCCACAACACTCTCCTTCTTGCTGCCTCGGTACATCTGGCACCAATTAAAAGAAGAAGCTCGAAATAGAAAATAATTGAGACCAACCGAACCACCTCCCTTCCAGCTGGTGGGAGCAGGCGGTGCCTGGCGGGTTTCGCTGCACAGACTCTGGACTCCTCCAGCTGAAATCCTGCTCCTCTCTGCCTAACGTAAAGTTTGCACCAGCATAAATGTGTCAGGGGTTATAAGGCTGGGTGGTCTGGATTGCACAATTAGTACATTTTTTTTGGGATTTTTTTTCCTTTTTCTTTTAAATAAATGTCTCTTCATGTGCGGAGGCACCCTCTTGGGGATGAGAAAACGTGTGAAAGCTCTCTTCCTTTGGAACTCCCTAGACTCTGGAACTCCCTCCCACTGGAGGCCAGCCTGGCCCCATCTTTGCCATCTCTTCAGGCCAGCTTCCCCTGATGGACTGGCTGCCTGCGTGTGGGTTTTAAATGGATTGTGGTGCCTTATTGCTTTGAATGTGTTTCGATGTTGCTTCGGTTCATGATCTTTTAATATGGCATTTGTTCGATCCTTTAAAAAACTTGTATATATTACTGTTTTTGGCTTAATTTTTTTTTCAATGATGTAAGTTGCCTTGGGTCCTTTTTAAGGAGAAAGGTGGAGATTCTCTATACCTGGGCATGATATTCAGTGTCTTCTCTCTCTCTTTCTCTGGGACTCGAGGGGTACATCCAGAGCTTGAAAATATTGCTATTATTTTTGGACTACAGCTCCCAAAATCCCCCAGCTATACTGTCACAATGGCAGTCCAAAAATAAGAACAAATCTATTTATTTAATGGCAGTTGTAAGTACAAGAAACAAGTACATACATAACATGAACTGCTGGATAGCTGAGTGATTTCTGTTGGTAACTATAATTATAATAAATAATTGGCATTCTATACAGCTGATCGTCTCGCATCATCATCATCAAATAATAATAATAATAATAATAATAATAATAATAATAACAATTATTATTAATTTAATATTTGTTATTTAATTTGTTATTTAATTTGTTTAATAACAATTATTATTAAACAGTAATACTAATATTAAAATAATAAAACTGTATTTATTTATGTATTAGTCTTATATGCCGCCCATCTACTCTGGGCGGTTTACACAAAATACAAAGCTTTTGAACTGCTGAACTGGAAGGGATCCTATAGATTATGGAGTTCAGCCTTTATCAGGGAGTCCCCGTGGGGGGAATCAAACTCCCAACCTCTGGCTTCGCAACCAGAGATCTAAGTCAGTGTTCTATCTGGCAGTTCTATGCAACACAATATGTACTGTATATTGTATATATACATATATGTGGTCATTACCTATAAACCCCGATACGGCTTTTTAATATTATGAGCCGCCTTTTTGGAAGAAAGGCAGCCTATAAAGAAAACAACCCAGTCCATATATATAAATAAAATATATGTATGTTTAAATGTGTTTTTGTTAGACAAGACCAGGATGTTGCATTGGCTTAGTAGAGGATTTTCTGAGCAAGCAGAATGTGTCTGGAGCCACCGAGGCGGCTTTATAAGACAGGTGTCAGTTAGACGTCTGTCAGATGGGGGGGGGAACCAGACAATGGGCCACTCAGACGGGAACCAGTCATGGGTCGGACAGTGACAGGGTCCCAGATGAGGCCCGCAGAAACCACATGTGTCAGGGACACGCACCAACACGTGACACAAACAGGGTCTGAGATGGAACAGGGACTAAAATATACAAAAGGGCTGACGAGGTTAAAGTTGCAAACTTGCAACCCACAGGATTCGAAAGGGCCTGAGAGGGCTTAGAAAACGTCCATGAGTGATGACGGGAGAGTCCGTTATTTGCTAGGGGAAAATATGTCTGTCACTAAGTCGAGGACATGAATGACAAACACCAAACGTCTAAGCGCTCCGAGTTATGTGACAGTTTACATATGCTTATAAGCAGTAAGAGTTATTTAGTGTTTCTACCAAAGACATAAGTGATTATTTTACTATTAATTCTTGGCACGAACACACATGAGGGAGGACATCAATTTTTAACTCAACAAAGTAGTTTTTTTAAAAAAACAATCAATTCAATACACTCCCAGCTGCTGCATGTACAGACCCTGCAAGTTAGTGGTTGTATATGATTCATCATAATTAAGAAGCCAACAATTTAGGGGTCTGACTGCTGAGCCAGAGGTGGGGAGTTCGAATCCCGCCATGGGGCCTCCTTGACAGGGGGTAGGCGTGATGATCTGTAGGGTCCCTTCCAGCTTTGAAGTTCTACGAGTATTATAAGACTATTTCCAAGCTCCAGGCCCTGTGGAAGAAATTGCTTTCTAACCAAGTGTTAACTACTGTATTTTTCCGTATATAAGACTATACTTTTGTCCAAAATCTTTAGACTAAAAATTGAGGGTCGTCTTATACACGGAAGTAAGCTAGGCGTGATGATCTGTAGGGTCCCTTCTAGCTTTGAAGTTCTACGAGTATTATAAGACTATTTCCAAGCTCCAGGCCCTGTGGAAGAAATTGCTTTCTAACCAAGTGTTAACTACTGTATTTTTCCGTATATAAGACTATACTTTTGTCCAAAATCTTTAGACTAAAAATTGAGGGTCGTCTTATACACGGAAGTAAGCTGAGGAGAGAACAAAAACAAGTGGAGGGGGGAAGCAGGGATCAAAGTGATCCTGCAGTGCTTTGATCCCTTTTCCCCTACACTTGCTAAGTCCCACTTAGATTTCGTACTTTTGGATTAGAAAAGGGGGGGGCATCTTACATATGGGGGCGTCTTATACACAGTAAAATACGGTATGTCAGTTTTTTAAAATGCACCTTATCATAAGGCGTTGAACTCGGGGAAGACTGTTTTTTTAAATATCATAGCTGTTCATAAAACTGTGATTGAGTTACAGTTTGGGGAATGCGTACGTCTTCTTTCCGTTTCTTGAAATGGAAACAACATCACGGCAGGGGCATATGTATGGGCTTTCTGGTTGGGGATGATGGGAGATGTGGTCCAACCTATCTGGAGGGCAGTTCGTTAGAGAATTGTATTGAGTGGCAATCTGGGGTTGGAACAAACTTGGGATTTACCTCTGAGTAGACCTAACTAGGATTGCCCATTACTTTCCCAGTTCAAATGGGGTGGGGTGGGAAAAATTGTTTTCTTTTTTTCTTTTCTGTAGTCAGCTAGAAAATAAAGTCCAACTCTCAGATTTCCCAAAGAGGAAGTATTTCTTTTTAAAGATCGCATAGTCACAGAAGTAGTTAAGCTTCTGTGGCTTTCCTATGGTTCATTCTTTCAAGAATGTAGAGGGGGCGTAGATGACATTCTCGATTTCCCCCCTCCTTTTAAGAGACCTTTCCTCCTGGACAGCTCCGTGGTTTAAGGTCTCTGGCTGTGGAGAAAGAGGTTGGGAGTTCAAATCCCCACAAGGCCTCCTGGACAGGGGCTGGACTAGATGACCCACAGGGTCCCTTTCCAACCCTGCAGTTCTAAGATCTATTTCTTGAAGGACACACAGACATTTAGAAAGTTGGGGCGTTAGCAGCAAAACATCATTTTTGTGGCCGTTGGAGAGAAAATTACCCCGGCCAATGAGTGAAACATGGCTTGGTGTCCCAAATCGGCCTGATTTGGTGTCCCGCCGTTCCTCGGGGGGTATCACTTACCTTGCAACCTGGGTAATTTGACTTTCATATGACGCTCGCACTTCGCTTTGGCTTTCAGCAACAGGAAGATCTGCTCCTCCTTCGTCAGAACATCATCAGGATCCACCTGCGAGAAGATGGAGCGAATGCCAGTTTGAGATGACGAAAAAGAACGCCAGGGGCCACAGATTCATTTGCACCTCACTCCCAACTTGGTCGCCTCGTGGACTGTGAGACCACAGCTTGGTTCCTCAGGGGGAAATCCTTGGGCTTTAAAAAAGATACAGCCCACCCACACTTCAGATCTGAGAAACTTGATGTAACTTCAGCGCTGGCAATACAGTTAGCACTTCATTAGAAGCACAGCAATCTTGAGCTGCAAAAGGCATTTGTTTACCCTAGTATGAGCTTTCCTCAGCCAGGCATATTGTAAATCAGTGGTTCTTAACCTTGGGTTACTCAGGTGTTTTTGGACTGCAACTCCCAGAAGCCTTCACCACCAGCTGTGCTGGCTGGGGTTTCTGGGAGTTGCAGTTCAAAAACACCTGAGCAACCCAAGGTTAAGAACCACTGTTATAAATGATCTTGCTTTTATTTTCTGACCAGTCATTAGGAGGGAAGCAAGGGCTTCAACGGCAAAATCGGGTTGTGCACACATTGGGAATATATTCTTGAAGTGAGAATGTTTCATCACTTTGAAATTGCAGAGCTGGTGGTATCTGATATGGCTTAGTCTTGAGATTAAGAATGGAAGCATATAAGGAAGGAGGAGATAAACCGTGATCAGTGGATGCAAATGGGTCTCTTTTCTGAGTGATGTATACCAGACCATCAGTTCTCATTTTGTAGTGTTTGGCCCACCAGATATTTTTTGATCTTTTCTCCTACGAACAGTTACCCCCCCCGGCCACACAGGCTAGGGCGTATGAGAAATGAAGTCCACAACATTTGGAGTGCCAAAGGTCCCTGAATGGACCATGGCCAATCTGCTTGTAAGGAGCATGTTCGTGCTGGGGATCATTTTTCTTTCCAAAAGCTGAGCAGAACGGGGGAATCCCGGGGTGACCCCACTGTTTGTTCCATCCACTTCTCCTTGGGACAACCCTGAGTTTTAATCCTTGCAGAAGGAGGGAAGGAGGACAGGGGAGACAAAGGTCTTTGAATCTGCTACAGCCCCATGAGTTAGTTCAGACCTCTGTAAAACACTGAAACGACGTTTCAAACAAACAAAACTTAAATGCAAACCACTTTGTGCATTCTCTCGCCCTTTCCACAGTTCTCAAAATTCAGGGGAAATTGTAAATGAAGTGAAGCTTGGCTTAGCGTCCCACACAGGACAGTGTTGCTTAGTAAAATGGTGGGTGTGATAGGGACATGAGAAGTAAGAATCAATGTATAGGGCTGTTCATGCACCCACTCATTCAGTTTGGAGGCTTCGCAAAGGTCTCCAGTGCGGGCTCCAGAGCCTGTTGCAGAGTTTTGTACGTTTGGTTGAATTCATCGCGCCACCCAGAAGAAGGGCAGAGATTCACAAAGCAGGGCTGTTCATGCATCCACCCATTCAGTTTGAAGGCCAGGTCTGGGCTTCGCAAAGGTCCCCAGTTTGGTCTTATTAGACTCAGGCTCCAAAGCCTGTTGCAGAGTTTTGTATGTTTGGTTGAATTCATCTCGCCTCCCAGAAGAAGGGCAGAGATTCACAAAGCAGAACACCTTCAACCTGCCCAGCGCAGTCCGCCCCTTTTTCTCATGAAGCTGGCACAGTCTTAGTAACTCACTCGAACACAATAGTTAAATAGAAAGAATAAAAAGCTTTCATGTTTTACAAAATGAACAGATCCAACAGGAAGCTGACAAACATGACTGCTTTCAGCAACAGACCTCAACAGACTCCAATAGAAGGGGAAGGGGCTCTCAGCAGAGAGGCGGGCTCACTGTGAAATTAGAGGCAGGGAAAGAATGATTGGTCAGTGATGGGTAGACTGACAGCCACTCCAGCCCAGAAAGGTCCCTCGAAGCAAAAGCTACTAAAGGCAGCATGCGAGGTTGCAAAAAATATCCAATGCATCCAAGTCAAGCGATCATCTTTTCATATGACTTGCACTGCGAAACCCAAATGACCCAAAAATGGTTGGATTTGCATTGATATGACATTGGGAGAGGTGATCGGTCCTGAAGACCTTCGTAAACCCAACCGATTTCAGGCCGCTGCCTTGACACATTGATGCATGCAGGGATCTTTAAAGCTTACTTAAAAAAAGGGGGGGGAAGAGAGAAGCCATTTGCACCCCATCTGATTCTACTGGTGTTTTGGACAGACTCACCTCTAACCGGTTCTCTTAAAAATTAGTCTGAATCAGTTGGGATTTGTCTGCATTTGCTTTGGTTCACGGCTCCTCTTAGTCACAATCCTATTCTGGATGGTTTATTTGGCTCGGGCAGTGAACTCTCAATTAGCATTTTGGTGGTTTGTCTGCTGATTGATCCGTGTCAAGGCAGCCAGCTCCAGGCAAATGGGGAGCGCAGTTTATTGACATTTCGGTTAATTAATCACAATGCCCAAATTTTCATTAGTCACACTCTCTCGCTTTGGGTGCATTGTTTTAATGTTGACTCAGAGGGGGCAGGTTACGGTGGACGTTGCTTCTAAAAGAGAACAGCCACTTCCTGAAATGGCCAGCTTATTTTTATCCTCCTTGACTTCCCTAAATAAGCATATTTTCAAGGATCACATCCTATGCAAATCCATTTCGATTCTGTTGGTTTAATGGATCCACGGGCGGGTGAGCAATTAACCTCAAAAATGTTAATTGCTTGGCAGGACCTAATGAAAAGGGATAAATAATATTAATAAGAGAGGGGGCCCAGCCCTCTATAGCACCTGGCTTGCCTTCCATCTGATACGGACGGACAAGCATCAAAAAACAGATGCTGCAGAAAGAGGCGTCCATCGGCTAAGGTGTCCCATGACATCTTTTACCTTCCGTAACCTTCCCACACCCACTTATCAGTGATCTCTCGGAGGGCAAAACAACCGAGGAGAAAATGTTTATCTCTGTTAAAAGTGGCAAAATCTATCTGCGAAGAGGTTGATCTGGAACTCAGCATGAGCGACCTTCTTCCCCTCTGTCTTTTGACAAGTGAATAGGCTGTGAGTTCTTGTCCTTCTCATTCCTCTCGACCAGAGGTCATTCATTTTATTATTTATTAAAATATGTATAACCTCCACCTTCCTCCTTAAAGAGGACCCAAGGGGGCTGGCATCATGCGAACACAGCACTTAAAAGCCAAATAACAGTAAGTATACAAATATTTAAAAGGATCAAAGAAATACAGTACCACACTAAAAAAACGAGAAGCAGAAGCAACACCAAAAACAGATTCAAAGCAGTAAGGCGCAACAGTTCATTTAAAAGCTCCTCTTAGAGAGCTAGTCATGAAGGGAAAGCTTGCCTGAAGAGGGAGGGGTCTTTGTCTGCTTGCGGAAGGAGAGCAAAGATGGGGCCAGCCTGGCCTCCAGTGGGAGGGAGTTCCAAAGTCTGGGAGTTAATAGACTCACCGAAGCATAGAATTAGGGAGCTGGAAGGAGCCTATATGGTCTCTGAGTCCAACCCTCTGCTCAGTGCAGGAAACCAAATCGAGGCAGAGGGTTGTCTAATTTTCTCTGCGCTGAAGTGCTCACCACTACCCGAGGTCATGAGTCCCATTGTCATACTGCTCTAACAGTTAAGCA